ACCCAAGACCTTTCGTCTCAAGTGAGCATGCCTAGTCTTCAGACCACTATGCCGAGATCCAATGATGTAGAAGGTTAGACAACCGAGTCCTACACCAAAACCTAGTGTTTCCGGTGGTCGTCTAACTCTAACCGGTTCATGATCTCAATAAAAAAGCAAATAATCAGATACATTCCCTGAATCCAATTTAACTAATAATCAATAAGTCACAACGTTTGGAATCCAAAAAATGCAATCAATAGTAGGCAAAGTAAAAATACAATTTTGATAAAAGTATCATGAAAAAATAAAAAAAGTTTTGAATTTTAAAGAAAAATCTCAGCTTAGAAAGTATTTCTCCAATAAGGTTATTATGAGAAAAACACAAATTCCTCCGAACATTTTCCACTGATAAGTAAACACATATTAAAATAGAAAAAAAAAGTTTCTCTGCTCCTTCAAAACACAGACGAGCTGAACGAAACAAGAGAAAGACAGTGGCAAAATTTAAGAAGACGGTAAAACTCCTCATAAAAAAACCAATATATTTCGACAATAATGGACGGTATCTAATGTATTATGTAATATGATAGTTAAACCCCTTTATTAAGGGTACACATAAGCTTATGTATATGACCTAAATCCACATTATTTAAAAGACTAGTGAGAAATAATAATAAGCCGGCTAAACTGAAATATATGTAGGTAGGTTTCAGTTTACGACCAACTGTTCATATGTTTGAGTACTTCAATAATAAAGCAACAACTCCAATAACGAAACGAAATGCTATTAAAATCTAATTAATGACAAAATAGAGTATGTGTCATAATCTAGAGATTATTATTAGTACAAAAGGTTTGAGAATATCGTTGAATTTTAGTTTACAACACGAATTGATGTTAATTATACAGCTATTGAAAACCAGGAAGAACCGGACAGCTGATAAGTAATAAAGTACGGGACCCCTCAGCAATGAGTATCCATAACCCCATTATGGATCAAACCCAGGATCCTTAAGTCTGGCAGTGAGTGCTTAACCTTTAGACTACTGAGACGGTATACGAAGATCCAATGCTTCTTGGTTTTCAATGACTCCCTTACTGAAGTCGGTCTATCATGCGAACCAAAAAATTGAACAATCTCTACAAAACTCTTATACTGATAATGATCATGTGCTCACTAGTGGCCAATTTCAGGTAATTTTAGAAACCATAATGAGAAGACATGACTAGTGGAGTTCAGCTATATCAAGTGTGAGGCACTTCCTACCAATGATATTGGGAGATGATTGGGCAATATAGCGAATCAGGTGAAGTTCAGTGTGTAAACTATTGAATGCCGGTCCAATGATATAAAGGTTAAGAGGTTGTTGAGAGACCTAAAGGTCATGGGTTCGATCCTACGTGAGATCAAAAACATCGACTGCAAAGCAGTCCCACACTAGGGCAAAAAAACTATCTAGGAATTAGTTTACTCCAACAAATCATTTATGATCATAATGAAACTCAAAATTGTGTATATATGTAAATTACTTACATAAAATTAAATTGACTATTGAAAATACTAAAATATAAAGACAATAGATACTCAGAGAATATATGAACAATATAAAATAACGATAGTTTCTTTGGCCAACGCAATTTCCAATCCATGGACAATGATGATCAAAACGTTCTACAAGGATTCAAACAAGAAATGCAAAAATATGCGATTATAAAATTTATTATTACTATAAAGATTTTTGGTTTGAAAGTCCAACATCTATTCAAACACACTACCAATCAATCTTTATAGGTATAAGTGAAAACATAAAGTTATAAATATTTGAAATGAAAACTGTTGTGACTTTAAGCCCGGCTAACTATCACGTGATTTATTTGCCAATCGAAATGCGACTTATACTATTTTAGTAATGTGCCAAACCAATGACGTTCGACCGGTATGAGCAGCCTAGCGTCCTTGTCGGTTCTTTTTCCCGCCCATCCCTCCCTGTTGAAACTAGAATGACAATAACAGCTCCCACATAATGGGAATCATTTATTTCAAACATACATAGTATATATACCAGCCAAACAGACCACATCACACCATGAAGTAGGAAATAGCATTTGTACAAGATCAAGTCAAAAAGTGGCTGTGAACGTGGGAGACAATAGTTAATAGACTGAGTATAATTTAAGAATAAATCGTATAATAATTATTTATAGGTTAAAATGAAGCTTAGAATAAGAGAAATATAGACACACATAATTTAGTTACTGAACAGTTATATAATAAGAATGAATATATATGACTGTGTTACGTGATTGCAGGTAGTTGATAGGAAACCCTACATGGCATAGGTTTCCTATTAAGTGGATGAAGGTGAAATCGTCAGGGAACCGGCGCTTTCCGTGGGATTTGAAGTGGCGCCATAAAGCTTCACAGTGTGAAACATTAGCACTAGTCCTATCAAGGTTGCACATACACTTTACCGATGAGCGTCAAATAAAATGGAACTTACATTCACTGTCTCTTATCAACCTGACATCAGTACATAGTGCACGTAATGTCGAGTCATTCAGACTAATGATAATACTAAAACTCGATCGATAAAATTTAATCAGCACTAAGAAGCAGGACAGTTTGTTTCATACACATAAATATCGATACAACTGGGCATCAAAATGGACATTCGCCACACACTAGATGAACACAATATTGGTCCCTATTCAACTATCAATATATATACATATATTCCATGAGATCCTAAAGTATTAACATTACATTTCGGCACCAGAGATACATAGATCAAGGTGATGTGTGCTGTTTTTAAAGGGAGGTTTTTTCTAATCTCTTTTTTATCCGTTGTAGGGACTCAGCAAAATTAAAGATGCTGATTATCTGATAGGAAAAACTTACTACTGCCAAGACTCAGGACAGTCAACAGAATGAATTCATGTCCAAGCCTTGAGTGTACTGCTTTTTTTGTATTATCGCTCTCTATTCGACAATCCTGTCATGGTAGAACCTCCAGAAACAAGTGTTACATCTAATATAACTCAATCGGGTCGTCACAACAGAAACTCCGATTACTTTGTCAAGGCGGGCTAATACAAAGACAGATGGAAGACGAGAACAATAAATTATTCTCGATTACCGAAACATTCGATGACATCACGCATCACAACAGTAAGGATCAATAGACGTACTGCCGATATACCCTTTAGAACTCCCAAATTTATTCTGTAGACGCATTACCTCGTGTTATTTCAGTTAAACAATATACAGTGAAAAGTAATAGGGAGAAGTAAGAAGATTAAACTATACAAAAAAGCTACTGAATATGTTTAAACGACTAGTGCTTCCCGACAGAAAATATCGGAGGAAACTAACCACACATGGCAGTGGCCACTTCATCATGCGGAGTTGGTGTGGAAACTTAAGACGACGCACTTTTGTGATGGATCTTATACTGATTACCGCTCTTTGAAAGTCTCACGCTCAACTTAATCAATCTAATATCCGAAGCACACATGTAACTCGGCAGGTTTTGGATCTAAATTCCGGAATAAGTGGAGTAGTTTTATAAAATTTTGCACTACACAAGATACGCCTTATTAATTAATTAAGTTATTTATTTGAACATATAAATATTGGTACAAAGGGGTACCAAATACATATGTGCCACACAAGTCACTTGATTTGTGTGTAAGATGTGATACTGTCCGGGTGCCCAGACTGAAGCAGGTGGTTTACTTAGTGAGCATTCTACCTAACGTCTGATTCACAAGGCAATGGAGCAACGTCAGGAGATGCAGTCCCATGGTAGCCGATGACCAATAATTGGTTCATACGCCTTTTTTCCTCAGGACCCTGAAGCCCATGAGCACCATTCGTTTGGAATGAGGATTTTCCAACTCCCTCAGGGGGACCCTTTATGTCCATCAACCCAGTTAAGGCGCCGGACATTCGCTTTTCGTTCGCTCAATTTCGTAAACAACACCCCCGTCGAGAGAAGGTAGTGAGTAGCACATTCCTGGCAGTAGCTGTATAAGTGTGGCCATGTGAGAGTATTTCGAGAGGAAGAGTTGACACTCCCCACCCCCAGCCGTACCAGGACACTTAAGGGCTATGACTTAAAACACAGTACACAAAATTGGCGATGAATGAAAAGTATGGGGGCATTTGTTTTATATGCATCACCCTATGATATACTATTATATCACTATTAGTTAGACTAAGGAGGGGAACTGTGAAAGAAGCTGGTGGCTAGATATACTATATGAAATGAATGAAAATCACTAGTATGATTACTAACAAAACGCCAATATATTTGTTTTTAACATTATTCTATTTGGTACTTTTATAGAGTTGATCACCACGTCAAGAAAATATATTGAATCAATGTGTTTGTTAAACTCTCCGAAAATCAAGAGTTCAAGTCCATGTGTGCAGGAATAAAATAAACTATATGTCTAAAGCACTCTGCTTTTAATAATTTGTAACAATCATTGTCACCTTACACGTGACGTAAATTAACACAGCTGGTTAAATGTCAATTTTAGAACAGTATTCATCCTTTAGTTACAATAAGAACTAAAATGTTCTTACTAGATAAAGATCAATACATTTTTTTAAAAATAACTCTATCCAAATATCTTCATGGTAGAGTAGTAATAACGGATTGATTGATCCATGTAGTTTTAAAGTTTACATAGTTATAATATATTTAAAAGGTGAGCTAAAAGTCCTAGCGGAATGATTTGCAATTTAGTGAACTAGGCAGAATTACGAAGGTCATCATTTTCTTTGAGACGAATTGATTGGAAAGTAACCTTCAGATTACAAATTTGGCCTTGATCGATCATTTGCAAACCATGCATTATAGATCGAAAAATTCTTTGGATGACACACATGATATTGATGAGTTTCTTCAGTGGTACACACATTACAGACTAATAATGACAACTTACAACTAAAACAATCTGTGAACAAGATAAATCTCAAAATCTGTAAAACAGAATAGAAATAAAAATCTTTAAACATATTTCTTGGTGTGTAAGTCCAAGTTTTCTGATGGAATAACGTTGTAATAATCGTACTCTGGATTATAACGATATAAAAAACTGCATTTGTGTAAATTAATAACATAAAGTGAGTAATCTGTGATAACTAGGCAAAATTAGTAGGAAGGAAATCAGGCGTACTGGCTACGTAGACTTGGTACAAGACTGAAAATTATACCTATCATGTTAAATCTGAAGATAGGATTGTGGATTATTTTCTAGTAGTTGACGAATAAACTGCCTAAATCAATAAATTACGATTACCCTCAATATTGAAACAGCGTGCAGTACTTCAAACAGAATTTCTAATCTGTAAATTATCTTGCCCAAGAATACAAAAACGAGAAACGTGATATTAAACGTTTTTCAAAGTGACTTACCAACACAATTATCACACGAAGAGCAATGTGAAGCTCTTGGTGGACGGAAAATTCGACAACTATGACAATAATTAATTTTGACTAGATGATCTCCAATTAGAATTTGACGTGTTCTGGCACCGGGTGGATAAGTTCGAACTGCATTTACATTATGCTCACTTTTGTTATTCGAGTCATTTACAGGTACATCTCCAGTACCTAGTTAAAAAAATAAATTACAGCATTTAAATTTTTATTCAACACAAGGTTTATAATGACGACCGATATTAGTAGTTAAAGATCGGCGACAAAGAGTTTTATAGATCACATAAATATGTAGATGAAATATCTCACGACTATTTGACTCATATTGCGAGGGATAACTTTGTCAAACAACCTCGCTATCTCAATAACCAGATCACTTTTATTTTGGACTGATCAATGTGACATGTTCACGACATAAAATTATGAATAGCAATTATTATTTGACGATGCTAGAATATATGAACCCATCATTATATTTTAGAAATTTTTATGTCGTCATAAAGAAATCGCAAATAAGTTCATCTAGCTTGGGAGTGTAAGCAAATCATATGTGAATATTAGTGGGATAGTAAAATGACATGGTGTTATAATCTCTTTCTTACGGTTATAACCCAGCTATTCCTATTGCTTAGTATTCTTCGACACCGATTCACTCGACAAGACCCCAAATCAGAACACGGTTGAACAGGAAAGAGGTTATATTCCAAATAACAAGGTTAGATGGAAGCAAGATGCAAGCCAGAAGCACAATAGGGAAAACGTCAGTATATTTATAGTTTTTACATAAGAAGATTCCAGAGTATTCTCCAACAATCGACTAGTGCTGATTGGATAAGAATTAGCCAATCAGCGTGCACCAAGGCAATCATGTATTGAGCATGCTTTAATCTAGTCTATGTCCCGCTAACACCTCCCCTTTGAGCAGATTCGTAGGATCTGGTGCTAGGGTCCAACTGCAACCGAGGGACTGGCCTGTGCTTTCGATTAGTCCATCGTCTGGGCAATAGAGAAGTATCACTCTTTTCTTGCTTAGAAACTGACGTGTCTATTCCCGGCGTTTTGATTTCGAAGGTGTCTAGCAGAACATCCAGAGGTAATCGATATTGAATTTTGTTGCTGGCTATCGAAGTTGCTTTCAATTGGTTAGCATGACGTACCCAAACTTCCGAGCCAACTGACACCTCGTAAACCACACTCCCCTTCTTTTTCAAGATCCGACCAGCTGTCCATGTAGGTTGTTTCCCACGATAGTCCATAGCAAGTACTTTTTGTCCCACCATGAACAATCGTCTTTGTGCCCCATGATGTCGGTTAAACTGATTCTCCATCGATAGGTTTCGTTGGGGTTCAATAGCTGGCGTAGGACGGATGATATGGGAATGTGTTGGTATCTTTCTTTTCAGTTTTCCTGGTAACCTTTCACCTGTCTTTGGAAGTACTGGGGTGTCCAATGATGAACACGATACGTTACAAACACTGTTAATTGGTATATCCATTATTCCAAGTTTGTCTAACATATCTAGACCAAGAAGATCAAGGTTCGGCCGTTCTGTTAGGTAACATATTCCTGTACAGTTAGTTCCATTGAAGGAAAATTCACACTGTAATTCACCAACCAGTTTTAGCACACCACCTGATGCGTTTTTAGCCGTTTTCTTAGATGGTTTCATTGGCGGTTTACCCAGCAAGTTATACGTTTCTCTAGACACTAACGTGATATCTGATGCCGTGTCAATTTGGAGACGAGCTGATATGCCGTTTATCTGGATGGTAACATACTTTCTTCGAATGTCATAGTTTGTTTGAAAGGCAGCTACCAGAGAAAGAGATTTAGACTCGGCTGATTTCACAAGTCGAGGACGTTTATGCTTCTTCTTAGGCTGAGACGTACGCTTCGGTGGACAATGACCTTCTTTATGTCCACGTTTGTTGCACGCCTGACATTTATGCTTCTTGAATGGACAGAAACGTGCATAATGCCAATCACCGCATAACCAGCATGCAGTCCTTGGTTTGTTACGAGTTGTTACCGGCTTCTGAACTTTTAACCTAGTAATAGTATTTACACTACCGCAGGTTAAATTAGGATTTACCTGTTCAATCAACTGGTTGTCGTGTCTGATGCTTTGTAGACGCTTACACTCATCTGTCAATGTTCTGAGTGTGACGTTTGGGTCTTGATCCAGCCGAGCTAAAAGTCTAGTCCTGACCTCAGCATCTTGTGGTGACTGAAGAGCTTTGATGAATATTAAGCATTTAAATTGGTCATCAGTCAACGAGCGTAACTTGAAACGTTCACATTCTCTGTTGACGATGTCTGCTAGAACACCATATTCATCAGCTTCGCGTTTCACCAAATTTAGACACCGATATCGAATACTAAACAACGAGGATGACTCGCCGAATATCTCTGACAACTGAAATACCGTCTCCTCGAAACTGAGCTCTCGAGGTAACTTTGGCAATATATGGTCAGCAAAACGTGCATGTTCATTGCTTCCCAACTTACGTACCAACAATCGGGTCTTCCACGCATCGTCTTGGTTACAGAATTCTGTTCTAAATGTATCTTCCCAACGTTTGAACCACGTGAGGAAAGTATTTCCACTTTCGGGATCAAAGATGAATTCTGGGATGCTGCTAGCAACTGCATCACAAGACGTACTTGAAATAGCATGTGAACTCGAGCTGTGGATACTGAGCTGTTGAGTCAGAGTCTCCAACAACCGCATTTGTGCATCAAGTTGTGCTTGCTGTTGTTGTAGTATTCGGTTAAGCTGGTCATCTGATATAGGCATCTTGAATTTGTTTTCCTTTTTTTCCCGTCGCCACTGTTATAATCTCTTTCTTACGGTTATAACCCAGCTATTCCTATTGCTTAGTATTCTTCGACACCGATTCACTCGACAAGACCCCAAATCAGAACACGGTTGAACAGGAAAGAGGTTATATTCCAAATAACAAGGTTAGATGGAAGCAAGATGCAAGCCAGAAGCACAATAGGGAAAACGTCAGTATATTTATAGTTTTTACATAAGAAGATTCCAGAGTATTCTCCAACAATCGACTAGTGCTGATTGGATAAGAATTAGCCAATCAGCGTGCACCAAGGCAATCATGTATTGAGCATGCTTTAATCTAGTCTATGTCCCGCTAACACATGGTGATACGCTAAGCAAAGAAAACGTAGACCAAAAGATAAGTGGAGAATGCTAACGGAAACACACTAATGGTCGAGATTTGGCTTAGTTTTCTGAATAAACAGAAATACGGTAGTGGTTAAAAACCCGGCTTCATTTTTTGGGAGAGACAGATGTGGTTATGAATACGTTGTGCGTATATTTTTAACTCATTTAACCAATAAAAACCTACTAATTGTTGATCTCAATCAAGTGGCAGATTGGGCGTCCGTATATGAAGCCTGTATATTATTAACAAACTCGAAGTGCAAAACATAACACAGTGTTCATTTGTTGGTAAGTCTTAGTATGATTGAAGAAGAATAAGGTTAACTGTAGTAAATAACGCACAACAGGGAACGTGTACACACTAAATCAAAAATGTGAAAATGGACGCTCTAAGTTAAAACGGACTACTGATCAAATGTAATCAGTTAGAGTTTCAGAAACTTTTATCTCCAGCGATATAGTATATAGAAATTTGAAAAATACAAAAGGAATGAGAAGTGCATTATTATATGCGCGTTGGCAGATGCCGTAAGAAAGCAAACTATAACTTCACTCCAGTGTGATTGATGAAATATTTGCGCTTTCTCAAGTCAAACTATTTCTTTTTCAAATTTAAGGTCTTAATAGTGTTAAATATTTTACAGAAACGATACTTATGACAAAATTAAGAAAGAGTGAAACTAAATTGGAGTTAAGATTAATAAGTTTATATATATATAGACTATTAAAGGAACAAAAACTAGTAAGCTTACTAATTGAGAGTTCAGTCCATTCTACTTCAGGACGTGTGGCCCGTGGTATAATTCCTGGATCTGTGAATGCTGTACGAAGAAATGCAGTAACAACGTATAGGAATTGGATCGCTGCTAAAATAGGAACAGCAGGAGTTAAGATGGGAGTTAAAAAACGGCAATCAAAAGCAAAGAAGAGAACTGTAACTGAGGTAATTAAAAGGAGGGTGATAGTGAATATACACATATCCCGAGAAAAGACCCCTCTGCCATGACAACAAAATCTGTTACGTCCAGGATGTAGACGATAATAAGGAATACGAAGACTTTGATTATCCTGCATGTTCTAAAACACTGAACTCGATAGGCATATTTTTTGCAACTGAGCTAACACAAAGATGTTCAGTACGTTTTGTAGAAGTGTTCTGCTAAAAAGAAGTAATGAATCAATAAAAAAATTAATTAAAACAAAGTAGCAAATCTTAAAATGAATATAAAATAACCCAGTATGGAAACCTATAAGATACAAAGATTTCCGTTACTTTCAGGTCACTATTAATAATAAGCAATCACCAATTAAACACAGCTGGTGAGAAAATATCAGTTATCCCTTATATTTAATGACAAATATTCCACTAATTTGAAAATATGGAGAGCAAAATATCAATCAGAACATACTAGCGCTATGATGAGCAAAAAAAAAGAATCGTAAGTAGACACTAGATTAGAATACTTCATAAAGATCCAGTATTCCCTAAATGTCTTAGTTTATGCTAAATCGAAATCCCATACAACTGTATGATGTGTTGACTGACAAATTTAGAAAAATAATTTGTGTATAAACGTGAGTGTTTCTAAGGAATTATTTTTATCCCTACATTTTGCATAACACGAAGACATGTCCTAAACTGATAACTTTGCTTGTTCTATTCAACTCAACGTTGGTAGTTAATGCGGATCTATTTGGTTGTTAATAAGTAGACGAAACTGTCGTATTTTTAGTTTAAGAGCGCTAATGTTGGCTTAATGATAGATAGTATCCCGAAAATGTAAGTAAACCGAAACTGGAACCTAAGCCTGAACTGATAAATCTTAAGAGCTTTATCAGTCAACTACTCCAAATGAAAGTCAACTTTTTTACGCGATCTCATGATCAAAGTTGAGATTATCTTGTTAGTGTGCACGCAACTGCTTCAATCATACTTTGAAACAAACGTATTAGCAAGTTAATGAGTTTTATCTATTGACTTCGAAAGTTTGCTGAGTACAACAGAATAGTATTGTATATTACTACGGTTATACTACTTCAGGAGCACTATATAAAAATAAGTTTACGCATGAATGTTGTCATTCAATTAAGGCAGTCATGTTAACTTTGACTCCAGAGAAAAACAATGGATATTGATGCGTGACCAGACAAACGTCAACCTATATATAAACCAAAGTGTTAATTCTAATGTCACCAAAGTATGCAAAACTAATAAAGTTAACAGTAGTTAAGTATTGATCAGACTAAATCACGAAATATATTAACCCAATCTCACTATCTTGGAATTTTCCCAAAAGTCATGAAAAATATGGCGGTTTTCTCCAAAGTTTGGGAGAAACCCCAAAGTGTTATAAGATTATGTGGAAATTTTGGGGGGAAACCAGAAAACTCAACCAAAACTTCGGGAATTTTTCCCAGACCTGAGGGAATTTAGGGGGTTTTGCGTTTTTTCCTCAGAGCCTTTTATAGCGGTTGCCTCAACATTTACCCAAACCTGACAAAATTTTCCCCGAAATAGGGAAATTGGGAACTTAGCTAAATCATTAGTGACACTAAGATGTCCAGATAACAGTTACATCAGTTTACCATAATACAATGTGAATGAGCAAGTCGTATGCTGAACAATTAATCACTTACGCAATGAGAACCAACTGTGAAACCCACTTGGATGTCAACTATGTACAGTAAGCCTGCGACATGAGTGACCTACGGATTGAAAGAGCTACCCGCAATCCTAGGTTATTCAACAGCCAATAAAACTCAGATTCCTGATTTCATTTGTGTGTTGGTGACACTAAACTGGCGGACTGTTTTGGTTGTTTCGAAAAGGCTCCAGATAGTGTCTGTTTTTCTCTTGAATGAGTTAGTTAAAGATACAGCACTCATTGCCTTATTTAGCGATTTCGGACAGCAGATTGTTCTGTACGAAAAACCTGTATATTACTGATTTATCTACAAAAAATAAAGTGGAGAAGGTCTAATGTTAAGGCGACTTTGTGAATTGTAGATCTAAGGGTTCCGAAATCATGAGGTTCCCTTAACTCTATACTTTTTTTAATATATCCATGTCGCTTTTTATACATAGGCTTTAAGCCTGGACGCAGTTTTCAAGGTTGGACCACACACACGTTGTTAAAACCTTGATTATCCTCCCACGAAAAGATGTTGGTCGTCGTATGAGGGGTTGCTGAATTCATGGCAATAAGTGGAAAACCACTGAAATGAATCAAGTTAAAGTTGTCCAAGCAGACTATGGGAGCTATAAATCCACTTTAATTAGACTCTGACAGAGGTGCTGTTACTGTCTACTATACAAGGAACTTCAGGTTTAGTGATTCTAACTACTAAACGTTCGTACAGACTTTTGCGTAAACTCATTTGTGTTCTAATATGAAACAGGTTCATTCTAAATGAAGTTCAAATTGGGTTCAACAAATCAAAAGAGGATAATAGTCAAGTATTTCTTTATTGTAAAGTAACAAACATTCGAAGTGATACAAAGAGATTTACAACAGAGGTACAATAAGAAGAGTAGGGACAAGTGAAATTCATGGTGCTCTAACGTTAATGTATTCCAACCGGTACAGACACTTAGGTGGATGCAAACAATTTATTTTGCAGCAAAATTACACATTATCTTGTTAAAATATAAGAACCATACACTGAATACTTTGTTTGCAAATTTCTATCATTTGTCTTTCATATTCTGTGTGATTCGTCAAGTTCCCGATTCCATTCTATTTTCTCTTCTCTTCTCTCCAACTTGATTTTCTTAGCGTTGCGCTGCCAGGTTTTCCACTTTCGAGTGATGTCACATACTACTTATGTTTGTTGATATAAGCAGCTTCCACCACAATACGGTTCCGGGCTTTAGGTGGCATCAAATAAAGCTAGATGTGCCATTCCAATATATCAGACACAGGGAAATTGACGTATGTTGAGATCGTTTTAGTCCATTTACCACACCGGACTACGGATACTGGAACCAACAGCTGTTACGCTGTCTGATCGATGACTGTCTCATTGCTGTATGGAGATTGCAAACTTGAATTTCAGAGGCATGGAGTGAAAACGAAGGTCAAGAGATGTAAATAGATCAGTAATCCTAAAAGCATGGATAAATCAAACGTAAAGACAAATCGGCATCAGTACGAAAATGAGTAAAATAGCATTATGATAATAAAAATAAGAATGGTAATAGTATGTGATAATAACAAGAGTGAAATTAGATGCGAGACATGCGTCAGGCCGAACAATGCGTTGAAAGACATTTTTCCACATTACTAGACATAACTAGTCCACAACATTTCACCTAAACGGGAGTTTGTAAACGTTGATTTTGTCATGCCCTTCACTTAATTCATTTGACAAACAGTCACATGATCAGCAACAATTTGTTCAGATCTTCGTATTATTAGTATCATATTTGTATGTGGATGTAAGTTTGGTCACAGGTTACAGTCCACCTACGTATTATCTGCTCAAATCACTCGGCGGTTGCATTGCTTTCCAGTGTATATGTGCTTTTCAAATCCTATCAATCCATTCAGTCTCATTCATTGATATTTCCATTTTCATCTACACATCCCCGTTGTAATTATGGCTTTTTGATCTTTCACGAGAAGGACGGGAACTCTAGATTCCGGCTAATAAATATAACTTTCATATCGTCTGTCCATCTCGAAGTATTTCATATTAACAGACGTTGGTTAAAACTGAAGTTCAGATCAACCGTGCAGACCACATGATGCAAGGATTAAGCACAAAATAGAATTAGAACTGACTATTACACTTTTAAACTGCCAAATACAAAGTAAAAATATAGAAAGGTCAGGGACAACCAACTCGGAAAATTCAGTGTAAGCATTTTGCCTGTCCATTAACATAAGGTTTATTCAGGAAAACAGGATAAGGAAGCTCAAGAATTTCAAATCAAAAGTATAAACTACCCATATACAGAGGCCACGAGTCTGTCGAACAAAATGGATTAGTTGCGTTTGCTAGGTAACGTTGAGAATACTCATCTAACAGGAATATCTGAAACATAGGCACCTCAAATTAAAGATTAATAACTGGTAATAACCAGTATGTATTTATTTCTCGATGATAGGAGAGCAGAAATGGAGAGAGCAGCCCTGTACCTTCCATCCTGCTTGGTAGTACATTAAGTGTACACTCAATGGTTTGTTAAATTTGGTGAATGCTCTTTACTGTTTAGTGAGATTGTCGAGCATGTAGAGATGTCTAGTCAGAGCCATCTACAGGAAGCCCTCTTACGACCTTGAGTACGGTGACCGTTTACTGGAGGGATTATCTAGGTCCATAATTCTTGGGAACACTCATATCCTGATTCTAAATGACTATAACCTTCATAAAGTCAACTTTGATGAACATGTGTACATTAGAGGTGACGACTCTGCTGAAGCTCGGGTCTTCAACTTCGTTGAAGATCTGGGTTTATTCGAATATATGAAGTTAGCAACTCTCTGGAGAAATACACACACCTGAACACTTGGACAGCATCTTTATAAACGAAAAATTCCTAGTTGACAAGTAATCAATCCTGGCTCCTCTGGATAAAAAAGGTCATGCCGTCATAGCCTTCAAGTTTGTTTGATAAACTGAGGCAAAACATCCTACTAACAACAGGTGTTAGAAATACAAGCAATTGGGTACGTCAGTTTTACAGATCAAACTACGACAGGTGGACTCGAAAGCACACCCTCAACTCAATATATGACGCTCACCAAAATTTCTTATCGCATACGATCCTATATGATGTGAAGTAGTCTGTCCCTCAGACGGTCCCAAAAATTACAAGGTACTCACGGTCATCAATAACCGCGCTCTTCAATTACCAAGACGCAAATGACATCCATGGGTGGAATACAGGCGAACTAGTGGTGACAGCACATAAAGACAGTTCAAACAAGTTAGGAACCAATAAATGATGAAAATAGGAGAAAACTGGCTTCGGTATCAGATAAAGCTAATCGACGAATTTATCTCCAAACCAAAAAGCTTATTAAGTAATGCAGTCTCTCTTCAGCAAGTCAAAACGGAGCTTCCCAGTT